AGAGAGAGAGAGAGAGAGAGAGAGAGAGAGAGAGAGAGAGAGAGAGAGAGAGAGAGATTTTCATCCATGGATGAGCAAAATGGGAATGAATCTGTCGCTAGAACATGGAAATATGCACTGTCACATTTTCGGTTTTTGGCAGTGTAGACCTCCATGTCGTGGCAGTGGATAGGGGAAGATTCAACCCCATTTTGCTCATTTCCTGAAGCGTGGCAATTCTGGTCTGTGTGTCTGTGTGTAGGATGAGCGAAATCGGAATGAATCTTCAGCCAGAACATGGAAATATACTGCTCTCATGGTACTTCCATCGATACAATGAGCAAAATCGAATGAATCTACCCTAGAACATGGTTGATTGATTGATTGTGCAAGGAAAATGAGCGATAGCGAACTTCAGAAAAAGCAGCATCATACACATGAGACCAGAGAGTTGTGACCTTGAATCAAAAGCAGAATTGTAACACGTGCTCCACCAAATGAGAGCACCGCAAAAGCTCATAAGTGACAATGTTGAAATAGTCTCATCATCATCAACAAAGAACCAATGTCGACATCCTATCTGGCGCTCTGCGCCCAGACTACAAATTGCAGATCCTATCTAGCCTATCTACAATGCCGCTGGTGACGTTAACGGCTCCCCGAAGTACGAGCACATCTTGGCCAATGCCGTTCGCCTCAAGCACCAGGCATGTCTCTCGTATCACACACATCCTCGATCCCCCACTCACAGATGCCATGTGCACCCAAGGACCACCATGCGCCCCATCCAGCATACAGCAGCGCAGCTCGGCTATGGCTGCCTGCTCATCCAGCTCGACCGTGAGCGTGTGAGCGTTGGCCAGCGTTAGCGAAGCAGCGCTTGCGCAGCATGCAGCCAGTGCCCGAATGAGGAATGTGTTGGCAGGCACTTTCCTAAATGGAAATTGCCTGCCTGCTGCGTGAAGCCTGGCTGCGCTGGGCCCCTGCCCAGAAGCTTCCTGGAGGCCCCGAGAGGTTGTGCCCCAGTCCACACGAATCAGGCCCCGGGCCTCTAGTAGTTGCCCGTGTCCAACTGCCCTCGGCCTGTGTTCTGTCCATATTGCGTATCTGGCCCAGGGCCTGCCTCAATTACATACGGAAGAAGGCAGCCTGGGCCTGGGCGCTCTCAACCAACTGGCGCTGCGCAACTGCCTGAATTTGCCCAGTTACGCGGTGACCCCAAAAATAGGCCTATTGGCCCTGGGTCGAGCCTGCCTTCACTTAGGGCGGCCGACTATACAGAAAATAGGGCCCAATAGGGCAGATTGAGGCCCTGAGCCTCGCAATTGAAAAAGAAAAACAAAAAAGGAGAATGGGGCGATCTTTTTTTCCTCCGCCCCTTTCTGTTTTCCCTCGCTCTCCTCCCACTCCTAACCCCCTCCCCATTTCCCCCACTGCTCCTCCTCCCACTCGCCCTCCCGCTCCTCCTCCCGCTGTCGAGCGCATCAGTCCGGCACCACATAGGGCAGCGCGAGACCCTCCCGGGCGTGTCACGCAGGAGTTGGTCTTAATCCTCGTCGCAAATATACATGGAGCTTCCGCAAGCCGCTCCGGTCGAGCGCGCCAGCCATACCTCTCGTGAGCCCCTATGACAGGATAGGGCCTACGCGAGGCACGACTTACCTCCACCTTACGGAAGTTGTCACCTCCCTTCGGTGTGTGTATCCCCGCCGAGCTACCAGTCCACAGTACGAAAGCTGATCAGTTGCAATCGCAGAGGTGGACCAACCGAGGGCGTTTCTCGTTCGCTGTAGCATAGGGGGTACGCGCGGTCTTACGCCTCTATTGAACCCGCACGTGAACCGGCATCTTGGGGGGCTGAGGTCCCAAGCCCGACTCGTCGCCGGTCGACTAGGACGCATCCCACACGCCACGCGCACACCACTATAAAGAACATAAAAGTAAACACACACACACATACAGCAGGACGATAGTCAGGGAAGTCGAAGCCCACTAAGGAGTGTGTAGCAACTTACCTACCGAATCCATCAGCCCCAAAGGCCGATCCGCTCTACTACCCAACGAGCATGAACACGGCCCCGACGCTAAACCCCTAGCGTACGCCTGGGTGGGGCGGTCCAGGTGGAGATCTTGGTGGTACGGGTTCCGTGGGATCTGTCATTGCAGCCAGCATCGCTGCGGGCCACCCGATAGTGCCGTGGGCCGACTGTGCCTAGGAGCAGTCCCGCGATCCGTAGCTTGCCGCAACGCTGCTGTGGTCTCCCTACAATGCCCTGGACTGCTATCGGACCACTGGGCTCGGGCGTGGAAGAGAGTCACGTGGGCACACTCGCGCTCAACCCCTTCACCACGAACAGTGGGGAACGGACGATTATCTTGCAGAATGTCCCTGCCTCTCAAGTCTTTTTCCGGCTCGCGGGCTAATCACCCGCCAGCTCGCATGTATATTAGACTCCTCCGTCCATGTTTCAAGATACGCAAGACATAAAAATTTAGTCGCCATCCCGAATACGTCTAAACCCATAAGTTAAACAAAGTAGGCGTCGCTCAAGGTCCTCGACCGTCGCGATGACCTCCAAATCCGACATCGCGCCTAAGTCACAAAGCATCAAAGCGAAATAATAATAAATAAATACTAAAAGCATTAAAACTTTTAACTGTCGAGATATGACGAACGAGGAAAAAGGAACTGCTAGTACCATGATGCCGCCGTCGACAAAGAAAGCAAGGGGAATAGCCTCGCAATGCCCTCGACCTCTTCGGTCGCCTCGCGCTACTCCGATGTTCCTGTCTCGTCCCCTCTCGATCTTAATCCTTGAATCTCCCTGATGAAAGTCTGACGCTGTAGTCAATAGTTTTAGGCCCAAGGCTAGGTCTAATTTTTGACGGACACCTACATAAACGAATAGTGCGCGACGCGCAGACGTACCGAATCGCTTTTAGAACCACCCAGTTGTCAATATCGTCCTTCGCACGTACGCACGAGTCACCAGTAAGTGCACCAGTCAAACGACAAAAATCTATTTAGTCCTAGTTTAATCAAAATTAAAAATTTGGTCGGCGCCCACACCGGCTCTTCATTCATCAAAGATAAAAAGAAATCACGCGCGCCTTAAGTCTACGCGTCCACACTCTCTCTACTCTAATCAGCCACTCAGTCAACGTAAACCATAGACTCAGTCGCGCCTCGCGCGGTATACTTAGACTTTAAACCAAAACCATTTTATGTCGCCTGCAGAGACCAGGGCGGATACCCTTGTAAGGGTATTCGCACCGACAGCTTACCGGACCATATTAAGCGACGTCCCCGTCGCTTCGCCAAATCAGAAAGTTATAAATCCATCCAACTCCAAAAAATGGTGACAAGAAAGGAACCAATCCGATTAGCCGACAGACTCAGTGTTAAGGCCTCCAACAATCCAAGCCCTTATAACTATATGCCGCCAGGGTTCCAACCTGGGTCTTTATTGTCCTTACACTAGGAGGCAGGTGTACTGGACATACGTACCACAGCATAAGTCTCAGCGGCCCCTCTCAAATGTCCTCTCCCCTTTGTCCTAGACAAACGTCGGTTTCTCGTTAAGTGTCCCTAGCCTCTACCTTGTACGCAGGGCCATAGCCAGGGACGCGGGCCCTAACCGAGACCTTTGAAGGCATCCTCTCGCCTTCCGCCCAAAAACTTTCACAGTTAAGTATATATGACAATATATATATATATATATACATCACATAAATCTCATCACAGACTCTTCCTGCCCACCGTAGCCTGGTTGATTGTGCCAGATCTACGGCCCACCGCGTTTGTTATTTTAGCGGTAGTGCCCTCGCAGGTTGCGCCACGATAGGCTTTTTCTCCTGATAAGCATTCAATCAGGACTCCAAAAGACTCAACTCTTATCCCACGCCATCCCGCGGCAGGTAAAACCCTCCTGGGTGGCCACATCCCTTTAAGTCTTTACCCCTTCTGGCTAGACGTGGGCCCGCTGTCAGGTTGCGCCGATCAGCAGCCAACACTGAGGGTTGCTGCTCAGTGATGCCAGTTATACCCTTAGCCGGGTCTCTCATAAATGGCCCAAGATTAGCACAAGTGGCTGGATGGTGTGTCGCAACAATACAGGCCTACTGCGGGACTACGCAAAGGTTTGTCACACATAAAAGGCATTTACCAGGCCTCAGTGGGACAACACAGAGAGAACACTGCAGCCTCTCCACTACCACAAAACAGAATCACCGCCAGGTCCACAAGGGCGTGGCCTCCTCTCTTGATCAGAGCAAAAAGGCCACACATCCCGAAGACATATCCCAATGAAGCTTTCTGCGACCCTTACAAAAATTCCACCAATGGCCAAGCAAAACGTGGTCCTCGTCAGACTTTATCATCCAAAA